TTCGATAAGGACGGCCAGGGTTTCATTTCGGCGCTAGACTTCCAGGATATCATGCTCAGTATCAAAAGTCACTTGCTGACCAAAGATGTGAGGGACAACTTGGTTGCTGTGAGTCATCGATTTTAGAGTGTTAGTTCCTCTTGCCGGTGCGTGAGGGAACAGTTAATTAATTAACTTACGATAATGACAGGCGGCCAGCACAGGGCAGGGCGGGCGGAAAGTCAGCTTTCCATATTTCATGGCGTTCAACTCCCTCTTGAATAATATGGAGCTCATTAAACGTATTTACCTTAACGCGACGAACGGTCACAGATACGAAGAAGTTACTAAAGGTATTTGATTTCCATTGCTCGTGATAAGTATGAAATGAGCCGTTTATTTCGAAAGTGGTCCATTTATCTTTAAATCAAGATATTTGACCGTTTGCTTTTTGATAAATTTAAAAAATATTGCTAGTATAGTGTTTTTGTGTTTCTAAGGGTGCATAATTTACCAACCCAATTAGTGATGATGAGCCACTTTCAAAATTAATGAAATAACTTTTTTTTTAATTTTTAAAAATGCCTTGGAAGAAATAAAATTCCCTTGAAGTAAAAAAGAAAATTACAATTTTGTGTTATAAAATTAAGAAAATTATTTACATTTTTACATTATTAATTACAATATTACAATTAATTACAATATCCAACTTTTACTCACTATTGAAGTTACGTTCAAATAATATTTCGGAATTTATAATTTTTTCCCTAATTTGTGTGTGCGGGAGAGATTTGAAAATTATGGTGTACAGGTGATAATAAGTTTGTACAGCGTTAATTCAATATTGAAGTTTTTTGGTCTCCCCTAACGCCGGGTTTTAAAGTCCAGAGTTTTGAATAGTGCATCCTCATTGATGTTTTATAGAACATTTTATATGCTTCCAACATATTTTTAACCAATTTATTCTTTCTCCATTAGTATTTTTTAACCTTCTTGAAACCTTAGTTGAAATGAAATCCTCTACATTTAATGGAATTAATTATTATTTAAAAAATCACTATGTGAGCTAACCGAACACTACTATTTTAATGATAAAAAATATAGCTCTTATCTCATAAAATTTTACTGCATAATATACTTCATATTCAAAATTCTTGAAATGACTTGAAAACTTTTTCAGTCTATTAACCAGCTAATTTTTTGTGTGATTTTAAATATGTTAGTTACAATTTGTTTAAAAATGAAAAGATAAGATAGAAATGTTGAATAATAATAAGATAGAAATATTAAAACAGCTAGCTTGATTTTTTGAAAGATCAAGGAAAATGGACTTAGATCACTTTCAAAATAAATGGCTCATATATA